AAAAAAAAAAAAAAAAAAACCCTAACACATTAATAGACATACAAAGTAGACCAAACAGTACAACACATATAAACCACTGTATTAATTACTATTTAGTCTTTCTACACACAAATGAAAATCACTGTTTTTCTTTTTCATCTCTAATTGATATGACAAAAACACATAAAAAATAAGGGTTAAAATCCTAACATTTCGTGTAATTGCAAATAAAACTCAACTTTTTAATTTTTGGTAAAAAAATACCAAACCTTTAATAAGTATTGCAATTGTGTCTCACCAGCCGGAACGTCGCCAACCGCCACCCGCCTCCCGCCGCCGGCCAACTTCGCCGGATGTTGAAAATTTTTACATGATCTTGTAGCTCTCTTTCGTGCCGACAACATATCTGAGTTTCACGAAAAATTTCGACGATAAGGCTTCCAATTTTCTGGTCAAAATCGTAGATCTTTAAATTTTTCTCCGGCGTTCTTTCGGAAATTCCCAGTGACTCGCTTTGACCCATGTGAATCAGAAGGTACCGTTGAACTCCTCTCGCAAAGCCGCATCTAGCGACGTCCACCTTCGCCGGAACCGGTGACGACTTTTCCGATCATCTTATTCAAGATTAGTAGTTATGGCCGAAAACTGATTTTTAGGCACAATTGCAATACTTATTAATGTTTGGTATTTTTTTATCAAATTAAAAAAGTTGAGCTTTATTTGAAATTACACAAAAAGTTAGAATTTTAAATTCAATTAATCCAAAAAATAAAAATGTAAAAGTAGGGTTTTAAAGTTTTAAAACTTTAAAGCCCTCATTATAATAATAAATTAGGTTTGCTTTTGGCAAGCAGGGGCCGGCCGTGAGCCTTTTGTAGGTGTGACATTTGCATGTGTGATGTGATTAATAAAAACTCAAAATCAAATAATCATAATTAAAAATAAAAATAAAACACTCTCATTATTATGTTTGTATATTTTTTTTTGGTTAATTTAACTTTTTTTTTTATTTATTTATTTTCAAGAACAGGTTTTAGAGTCTGCAGCAAAACGTACGTACCTTTGTCTATCACCCTACGCAATGGCCAAATTCACACATTTTTTGATTCGAGTTCGACTCAGCTCCTTTTTCACGGGGCCCCGTTTGATTCGCCACAAATAGAAAAATTAAAAATTTATAAATAAAAAATTTAAAAATAAATAAATAACCTGAATCTCCATTTTTGGTATGTATCTAAGCAAAACCCACAATTTTTTTTTTTTTTTTTTAATCTTTTCTACAACTCTGTGAAGCTGCTTTCCATTTGCTCTGTAAATATTTTGCTCTCGGACTGTGTGTGTGTGTGAGAGAGAGAAAGAGAGGAAGTATATACCAAATGAAAGATATTAGGGTTTATTTGTACTGTTGTGTGTTGATTTAATTTTAGTAAGGTTAATTTTTTTTTTAAACCCTAGTTTCTGAACCGGGAGTTTTAACTCGGTGCCCTAATTTTTAATTTTTATTTTTTTTTAATATATTTTGAGACAGTGTTTTGTTTTATTTTGTTCTTTTTCACTGTTGTGGTAATTTTTTATCCTCATATATTGAATGATCTAATGGTCAAAAAGAGTAGTGGTAAATATAATCTACCAACTGATCAAAGTTTATTACTTTAGGTATTCAGAGAAAGTAAATTTTTGAGGGTTTTTATGAATATTTAATTCCATTTTTTATTTATTTTATTATTATTTATTTATTTATTTATTTATTTATTTTTTTTTTTTTTTTTTTTTTTTTTTTGTGTTTTGAGTTTGATTAGAGAAGAAAGGGACAAAAGATTGAATTTGGTTAGTGGAAAGTTGCAGGTGGAGTAAAGCTATTGGTACTCAACTATAGGATATGGTAAGTGTGAGGAGAAACACACACACACACACACTCACACAGTGTGTGTAAAATAATTTGAGTAAATAAGAAAAAATAAATTTCAGAATTAAATACCAGGTGGTTGTACTGGAAAATTAAACCCTTCAATATTGAGTTGTCATCAAACCCATTAGATCATATTGAATTGGATATTTAAATTAAAAAAAAAATTAAACGAACGAGCTCAAACACGATTTTTAGCTCGAAAAATAAATGAAAGAACACGAATATTGTTCGAACGTGAACGAACACGAGCTCGAACAGCTCAAGCTCGGTTCGGTTCTATCTGTTTACAACACTAGTGGACAGTATGAAAGAAGGGGCTGGCGGACTACTTCAATTGCTGATAAATATATTTGATCAAATTAAGTCAAAATTAATCATTCCATCAAAAATCAAAAAATGACTTTAACAATAAATTTCAAAGAGTCCTTTTCATTAACTTTTTTCCATTTTTTCTACTTTATAAAAGAGACATGGCAGGTACAAGTTTCAATTTAATATAAATGCAACATGATGATTCAGAGCATATATATGTTAGCTTAAAATGTCAGATTTTATTCATTTATTAATTAATGTGCACATATATCCACACACACCTACAATATATATATATATATATATATATGATAAGTATTTAATTTTAATATATATCTGATTTTAGGGCATTATTTATTTTACACAGACAGCTAGCACAATATCCCTTGACCTGATAAATACTTATATCAATTAATTAAACAAATTTAGAGCTAAAAGAAATAATTAATGCAATATATGAGTTCTTCAAATAAAAAATTATTAGTGAGCTATATTAATTAGGCAGGCCAACATATGGTTAGGCAACTATATTTTTCATAACCAACAATGGTTGACTCAAGTGGTAAGCAACTTGATGTCGCTTAAGCATGGTCTCGTGTTCGAGTCCTTGTGGATGCAGAAAACTCCTGTTGGGAGACTCACCCACCGCTGGCAGGTGTGCGACTCGGGTCGACTAACGGATTAGTCGGAGCATAACTCCGGATACCGTGGCTGGCTACCAAAAAAAAAAAAAAAACTATATTTTTCATAAAATATTCATATTTTAAAATTAAAATGTCATGTTTTACAAAACAATAACATACATACTAATGTATGATATGTTTAGCATACTTATATATATATTTAACAAATATACATAGCTACAAAACAATAACAATAACATAAATCATTTTTTTCCCCTACTTTTCCAGACAAGAGAAGTAGTACTAGCTTTGTTGCCTAGCTGAAATGCAAATGTTTAGGTAAGAAGGATTTTTTTTTTGGGCCCATGTCAACATCTTGAAGCCCAGATTTAAAAGTATGACCATATTGATGTAGCACTTAAAAAGCCAGATGGACCAGCTTGAGCCATGGGCTCGGGTTCGGCCGGTCCAACAATGATAAAGACCATTTATGCAGTTTATAAGATTGAGGTTAGAAGATTTAGGAAGAATTCTTAAAAGAAAGGGAAATTTTCATTTATACTTACTGATTTTTAAGTAATTGCAATTTTACCATTGAAACTAATAAATTTATGTATATGCCTAAGAGATAAAAAGTAATTATATTGATGCCTAAGCATCTTCTCTCTCCCCCCGTAATTCATGCTTTCAGTTATCTTATCAAACCAAACCATCTTCTCTCTTTCCACCGTGAATTACGCATGTTGTTATAAAAAAAAAAAAAAAAAAAAAATCCTTTTTTGATTTCGCATGACCGCATGTTGTTACAATAACAATACAATGTTATGTAACCAGACATATAACCCTATATATATACCAGAAATATACCAGAAACAGAACATAACCAGACATGTAACCCTACATATATACCTGATATATACCAAAACTGAACAATGTTCTGTAACCGAGCATATAACCCTAACATATATACCATATATACCGTTATATATTCTATCATAAAACATAACAAATATACTAATTCACAGTGAACACAAGATAGAAAAAAAAAAAAGCAACATATATACACTTTGATATACCGAAGACATACAT